AATTTCAAACTTACAAGTAATCTAATGACACAAACTTACTTTTGTATTGAATATAAATATTACTATTTCTTTTTATCTACAAAGTGACGTTCAATTTTAATCTAATGATGTAATGTAGTAGCCTTGTCAGACGATACATCGATGCGAATATTTATCAGGTTAAGATGTAAACCCAATTAATTTCAATACCATGAATTTATGACATTTAAATCGACGTGTAGGATTGGGGTCCGCGGGCCCAAAATGATTCAGACCACGATCATCGAATGAAATAAATAACAAGATGATCCTCCCGTTGTTTCGCCGATCTCCGATTTCGAGTTTCGTACATACAGATGGCGTCCACAATTCCGACAAACACACAAATCCCCGTAACATTCCCATTGGTCAGAAAGGATCCATGATCTTCACATGGATTGGCTGTGATCGCGATCGACAGGTCTCGACAAATCCTGGCCGTGTCCTGTAAACCGAGGAGAGTACATGGTGCCGTGCGTGAAGCGACCGTGCCGGTAACGCAGGTCCGCGCAGTGTTGGTCCATTGTCATCGCTTTTGACGGGAAGCAGCAAGCGATCACGAAGAATAGATCGCACGTACGCAAACGTATCGAACGATATAATAGCTATATACATTGACGGGGGACGTGTGAACTAGTGTGCGAGGCTGTACATCCTGATCAGTGAGTGTATGTAAGCACAACCGCGTGCGGGCGGTTCCCACACGTCCGTGCAACAAGTGTCATACACACGGGAGCGCGGCGGATAACCGATTGTTTCGAAGAGCGGCGTGGTGCATGGTGTTCGTTCTTTCATCATCGAATAGAAAGAACGACCGGCGAGAATGGGTTGCGCGGTGAGCACCACCGGCGAGAAAGAAGCCGCAGAAAGGTCGAAGAAGATCGACAAGGATCTGAGAGCTGATGGGGAACGGGCCGCTAGTGAGGTCAAGCTCCTCCTGCTTGGTAATTTCTTCTTCTTTTCTTTTCGTTTCGTGTACTTTCTCTCCGCTTGAGGATCGTCACATAGTTGTTTCTCCGTTTCTTTGTTTTACTTCGTTCACGGTGTTATGCTGGAAATGTCTTATGCTTTCTAGAAGACTATGCTCGACGTTTCGATAATTCGTTGTAAAAGTAGATCGCTGCACTGAGTTACATTGTTAACGAAATGTTTTCTTCTTTTTTTTCCCTCTTCTACGTACTTTTCTATCAATTCTTCGAGACGATGTTTTGATCGAGTTTGATTTTTATTTCAAATTGATTGAAATCAATTATCGGATTTGCGCAATCGTGCGAATGTAGCGCGGGCAATTTTCCGAAATCTTTGAATCATCGTTCGGAGTGAATCATTGTATGTCACTTCGGGCACTTACTCGGCTGCTTGTATATAATTACAGTTAGCTATATTTTCATTTATAAATATCGACATTTTTACTTAAAAAGGAAAAAAGTGAAAATCGAATTTCTTGACAATGCATAGTAATGTACATGTTTATTAACATACGAATATTTCTATTTTAAGGAGCTGGAGAGTCTGGAAAATCTACTATAGTAAAACAAATGAAAATTATCCATGAAACTGGCTATAGTAAAGAAGAGTGTGAACAATATAAACCTGTAGTTTGTAGTAACACAGTTCAAAGTCTTATGACAATAATTAGAGCCATGGGGCAACTTAGAATTGATTTTGCAGACCCTAATAAAGCGGTAAATATATTTACTATAGAAATGTTTAAATTTTTTAAATAAAAATGTGGACACATCATTACATCATATGGGTTCTATCAGTAATAGAGAAATTTAATCATGTTCTAGGATATAGCACGTCAATTCTTTACCCTAGCTTCAGCAGCAGAGGAGGGTGAGTTAACTGGGGAACTGGCACTATTAATGAAACGATTATGGCAGGATGCTGGAGTACAACTTTGTTTCACGCGTAGTAGGGAATACCAGCTCAATGATTCTGCAGCATATTATCTTAATGCTTTGGATCGTATAGCACAACCTAATTATATTCCTACTCAGCAAGATGTTCTTAGAACACGTGTGAAAACAACAGGAATAGTAGAAACACACTTTTCTTTTAAGGGCTTACATTTCAAGTAGGTTCATTTCAAAATGTTCTTTTATTAATGTTAATATTATACTACGGTTATTATTAAAAAGTTTTTTATTTTACTAGAATGTTTGATGTGGGTGGTCAAAGATCAGAAAGAAAAAAATGGATACATTGTTTTGAAGGAGTTACTGCAATCATTTTTTGTGTTGCATTAAGTGGATATGACTTGGTTCTGGCAGAGGATGAAGAAATGAATAGAATGATAGAGTCAATGAAATTGTTTGACTCTATTTGTAATAGCAAGTGGTTTGTTGAAACATCTATCATTTTATTTCTGAACAAAAAAGATCTTTTTGAGGAAAAAATCACTAGGAGCCCATTGACTATTTGTTTCCCAGAATATAAAGGTGCCAATACTTATGAAGAATGTGCTTCTTACATTCAAATGAAATTTGAAAATCTGAATAAAAGGAAAGATCAGAAACAAATCTACACACATTTTACATGTGCTACTGACACATCTAATATACAGTTTGTGTTTGATGCTGTAACTGATGTTATAATCAAAAACAATTTGAGTAATTGTGGTTTATTAAGTTAAACATTGCAATGCCCTATTATTAAATCAAAAAACAAGCGAATTTACATTTATAAACCAATGTGAGTGCACAAAGGATACACATGAGACTGAAAATAAATTGTTAGGAACAGAAATGTAATTCAGGTATACCATCATATATACCAACTATGTAATGTCTTCACTTTGTCATTTTCTGTTGGTCTTTACAATATTTTTATATAGTATATACTATAAAATAATTTGTTAGATCCTGTGTCTTTTGTATGCAAAAATTCATGACATTTCTTTGTAATTGGCTAGTTCTTAATTTATTCTTTTATTTTAAATATTCAATTGGAATGTTTAAATATTCAATTGGAATGTTTAAAATTTTGAATTATAATATTCTTAATAAGAGAACAGATACTGTTTATTGATGAACAAATATCTGGTCTTTGCTAATTGTGTTTAGTATATTAATCAGAACTAGTTAGCTATTAATTTAGTAATATCATTTTGTATATAATTTATTAAAAGTAATATGTTTATACTGAGCGGAAACATATTTCCATAACAGTGCTCGAAGCCATTCATTTCTCTTATAATAAATTGTTGATATTGCAATGACATACACAACTTATTGTGTTGACAGTATATATTTGTACAAGTTCAATTTGATAAAAAAAATTTTGATAAATTTGTAAAAAAAGAAAAACCTTTTTATATGTATCATTAGATAATGTTTAAATGGTTGTCATTATTTTTCTATCTGCCAAACAAATAATGTTAGAATTAGTTACAGATTTAGAAAACAGTCATATTATATTGCTGGAATAAATAAAAAACTTTTTTTAAAAAGTGATATTTTTTTGAAATCCTGTGCTTCACGTTCTGAAGTGATATTAATATAATATTAGCATATATTAAATACATAATGTATTTAATATATTTAGAAAACGTGAATCAATTACAAAAGTTTTTCTCTCTCTCTTTTTTTACTAAAATCATCTCTACATTTTCATCAAATACAATGTTTAATTATAAAAATGTTCAAATTCGTGTATTTTTAATAGTGCTTTAAATTTGTAAATTTTATATGATTTTTGTAATTTAATTCCTTTTTTTCTGAAATTTTATATTTAGAAAAAAATCATTATTAGAAATAATAATACTCGCATATTAAGTACTTATTCAGAATCTTTAAACATTTTTAGAATAATTAAGAATATTTTCTTCGTTGTGTAAACATAGTATCCCATTTTACTTTTGTATTTCTATTTAATTAATTTGTATCTCTATATTATATATACATGTACAATAATACAATACATGTGAAGTTATAAAATAAATATTTTCATATTTTTTTTTGTAGGGTTTAGAACTTTGACTTATATATAAATAATATATATATATATATATACTTGTGGAAAGTATTTTGTAAAAATACTGTTATTTGAGTCTTTTATTTTTGCTCATTATAACTAAACATAAATTATGCTTCATTTAATTTTCAGAAATTATGTTAATTATCTATTTTAAAAATATAGACAATAAATCATTTTTTAAACATTGATTATAAAATTAATGTGTCATTAAAATATACTATAACAGTATACTAAGAACAACGACTTAGTATAACAATATGATAGTATTACTTTCTTTTTTACTTTTAGCCACAATAAATTTTTCAGAAGCTTATATGCTTTAACGTAACATTTTCAACAACCAGAAATCTCATAACATAATTATTATTTCATTTGCTTCAACGATCATTAAGAAGTTTTTAACTACATATATTTCTAAACTTTGCATATATTCTGACATATAATCAAATCTTTGAGGTAAACTTGTTTACATGTAAAATATTGTAGGAATATGCACAATAGGAAGCATTAATTTTTACAGTGCCTGGAAATTGAATTTGACTAATCACAGAACAGACTTGAGGTTTATGATATGCTACACAGCTGTACAACATTATATGGAAGCGATCTATTCTATTTTTAATCTCTATTGGTATTTATACATAATTAGCTACACAATGATATATAACGGGTTGATTCCAAAACAATATAAATCGCTTTTAATGTTTAATGTGGATTTCTAGCTGGAATGGGTGGTCCACCTGATGTTCTTGCCGGAATTGGCGGTGGAACATTCGATGCAGGTAAACTTGGCGGTGGATGTTGGGGAGGAGGAGGAGCTTGTCTTTGAGGTAATGGGGGTGGTTTAGAATTGGGTGGTCTACTAGATGATTCTTGCGAAGGGTCCGTACGAGGTAATGGCGGTGGTGGACGATTTGGTATAGGATAATTAGGCGATCCGTCCAAAATTTCTTCATAAATTGCAGATTCCGGAGATAATCTTTGCTCAAATTCTATCCTTTCTTTAGATAAAGGCGCTGGGAATTGATTGGGTAACACGCTAAATACGCCAGCTCGTGGTCCTTTTCGATCTTGTACTGGACTTTTTGGTGGTTGAGTTGGACGACCTGGTGGAGCTGGTCTGGGTGGAGGAATTGCTCCATTTGGGCTACCTCTACTAGGAGATGATCGTTCTCCTATATCTAATTGTTCCAATCTTTGAATAGGGCTTTTCATTGGAGAATTTGAAACGAACTGCGCAACTGTAGTATTACTGCAAAGTTCTATTTCTTTTTCAATTAGCTGCACCCAGTTTGGAGACTTCAAAGATAATTTCAAAGTTTGACCGCATACTTGAGTCATGCCTTTTCTTGCTGCTGACAAAGCACATTGTCCATCTCGAAATGTTACCCAGATAGTTTCACCGACAAATCTGACGAGAATTACTTCGCCAATATGAGAAAAATCTTGTAATAGCGCCATCATAAAATTTTCATCAAACACATTGTCCATATCATCCGATTCTTCAACTGCTTTTACTACTATAGTGCCATCAGGTGGACCCAAATCTTGAATCACTTCTTTGAATACTTGTTCGCGTTTTTCGGATTCAATACAATGAATATCTACATCTATAAAGGCAATAACTGGTCGGTGATCACTTTGTTTCAATTCTGCTCTACCATAATGAATTAATTTTCCAGGATTCCAATCTGTAGGAGAATCTAAAACAAATAAGTGCAAATGATTAGTTAAAGTGATAAAAATGCTAACAAAAGTCATAACTGTATAGAACTAACCGATATCAGGTACTTGTTTTCGACGTTTCCACAATACTCTATCCGTCCAAGCAGGCTGTCGACATTTTTCACTAGTATCATAATCATCAGAAAAAAGATCATATTTGTATGTTGGAGCAAAAGCAATAGGACCTTCCAAGAAATTTTTAAACACATTTCCTTGCTCCTGCTGAACCTAAATTCAAAATATATTAAAGAAATTAGCATGCTTTTTTATAAATTATATATTAAAATAAATTTTTTATAAATTATATATTTTTTATAATTATAAATTATATTATATTATAATTATAAATTATAAATTATATATCACAAATTAAAAGCATGATTTATTGTCTTTACCTTTAACTGATCATATTGTAATATTTGATCAAATTCATTTCTTTTGATCATTTCTTTCATTTCATCTTTATCCATATCAACTCTATAATTGAAATCTCCACACCAAAATACGTAATCATGAGTATTTAACGTTCTTCCCATAGGGAAGGTAATTTTTCGCGTAATTTCTGCATAATCTGCATTGCGTTCATTCACTTGAGACTGTCCAGCAGCGAAGTGTGCACAAACGAAACAAAAAGATGTGGAATACAATACACATCTAATAGCTGCAGCTCCTTTATTTCCTGTTGCACCTCCTAATCCAGTTTTTACACAATCTACAGCTACATCTCTTAAATAAGGTGCATGTTCAGGTCGTATAAATAAATAGAGACAAACACCAACTAGTTGTTGATATGTGACTAAAACATATTCAGCATCTCGGGAAAGTACTTTTTGTAATTCCTCTGCCCAAGCTTTTGCATTATCAGTACTAGCAGCCATTATATTGCTAGCATTTAAATCAACAATTTCTTCAAATCCTACTGCAAATATATCTACAGGAATATTGTCGTATTCAACTGATACTAAAGCTGTAAATAAGGATATAATCAATGAATAAAAGAATTATTTATTAAAAAAAGAAAAAACAAATATATTTAAGCTTAGAACTTACACGATGATTTTCGTGGAGCATCTAGCAACCAATCGGAAAGGGAATCTTTATATACGACACTTCGGAAATGTTTCCCTCCGTTAACGTTGTAAGTACTCACACCTATTCTAAGATTCATTGTAGTGACATATTCATTATATCTTTTACACATTTCTCTGAGAACACTCGGTGGAGCATGTAACATATTTGAAGATAAAAGTAATCGAGCTCTATCCGCTAATTCAGTATTTAAAGTTGATCCCAATAGTAAAATGTCGATAGCTTCTTGCTTACTGGAGTCCAATAAATTATTTTGTATTGTTCTAGCTGCGGATCTTGCACCGTCCATTAATTTTGAACTTCCTTGAATTGCCCCAGTGCCAGCATATATTTTACTTACTTCATTACCATTATTGATCCACATTTGTCTAAATACTTCTTCAAATCTTGAAACCATCTGTTGTTTTTCAAGTAACTTTAATAATCCTAGTTGTTTGCCAAGTATTTCCAGTGCAAAAAATGTTTGCACGCAGTTTGTTCTATCCAAACAATCAAGACAATTTGTTCTAATAGTTCCTGTTTGTTCAAGAATGACAGTATTACCAGCCGCATAAAACAAAGAAAATGATTCTAAATATTTATCTACTTTCGCTTTCAACTTTGAAAGATTTTTCATATTTCCACCTCTGCATTCTTGATGATAATCAAATAGAATATGAGGTACATCAGTATGTTCTGACATATTATGATGAGTTTGGAATAACTGACTTAACATTGCTTCTCCTTCTTTGCTCCCAATTAGACTAGATCCAAGGAGATTGACAATCACTTGTTGTGCATACCTTTCTTTGATCATATTTAAATGCCTATTAAAGGCCGGTGCGGAAGCTTCGAAACCACGAGAAATTTTCACCTTATGAGAACCAACCTGAATACCAGGCTGTTCCCAGAACAAAGGAACTGATCCTCTAGTTTGCACATAGGATGTTATTTCATTATCTAAATATATTACTTGCTCTGTTTCTACAAAATTTGCTACATGACCATCATCATTAGTTCCTCTGACATTAAACCTAGAACATAAATCTATAAATGTAGTCTGGCTTGGCTTATTGGTTTACAAAATAATTAGCTTATGAGCTGTTTGTATTCAGTTAGAAATGAATAAAGAATACCTTGTGCCTGCTCGTTCACAACTTAATCTAGACATAAGGACAGCACGAGCTTGCCTGTGACCAACATATACAGTTCGAATCTCCACACTACCACACATAGCTTTAAGTAACCAATGAGATGTATCCACTCCATATCTTAATAAATGTATGTGTAACATTCGATTCCTATTTGGTACATGAGAAAGAAAGGAAAATTAAGATCTGCGACATACATAATACGCATAATATATACTAACCAAAAGAATCTATTGTCAGTTATTGTAGATTTACATCTCCTCTGTGCACTAAGGGTAATGTCAAGAGGTTCTTGATTAGCGGACCAAGAAAAATAAAATGTACCGGAGTTAAGAACTTTTCTAACTTCAGATACACGATCCTCATTGCTTTGCGTATAATGAAGCGGTACAAAATGTGTTTGTGTAATTCTAAACACTTCAGACTCTCCTATTTTACCAACTGAGAAACAGCCAGTGACAAGAACAAGGTACAACAATGTATTTTCGCCTGCGTTTAGTTGCAAGACACCTACGCATCCATATGCGTCTAATAATTTTGTGTATTTCCCTTTCAAAGTTTCTGTTTCTTCAGCAGCTGTGAAATAATGTTTAAAGTCACATTTTTAAACAATTGTAACAAATGAAATCGAACAACGAATCAAAGAAACTACTTAATAATTCTTCTATTCTTCGAACGATAATCTTAAACGAAAAAAATATCGAGAGATTAAAGTTAAAGGATAGTCTGCAGAAAAATATTAATCGCGATAATGTACTTACAAAGAACAGCGACTGCCTGCGATTCGAAAAGAACAGTTTCCTTTCGATTTCGTTGCTCTAATATGAGTGAATGTGGGCTAGGTGGTTTTAACTTTTCGTAGACGCGAAATCCTTTGCCCATCGCCATAGTTGTGTCGCTGTCTTTGAAAGTTTCGGGGATAAATGTACACTTCGGTAGAATATGACAGTTCCGTCTGTCATACGGAGGAGCACGATCACCTTGATCTCACTGTGTTTTCTTTCTCACTGAATGAACTCCGTTCCTCGTTATTGACAGCAATAAGCTCTCTCTTAGTGGTTAACAGATGAAACCAGCGCTCTTATCGCTGATCCGTCGATACCTCGATATATTTTCGCAATATATACATCTCCGATTTCGTGGTGTCTACACGGTCCGCTTGTCTAACCGTAGCAATCAATCGGACGCGCCATTTTGAAATTTCGAAAAGTTGAACGTGTAACATTCTCGCGCCACAAGCGTCGGTCGGTTAAAAGTTGCCTCGTCAATCGTGTATTTCTGTGATCTAAAAAGATCGTGTTATTCCGCCACTTTTGAACGCGAGCAATGCAACGCTGGTACGAATGTTAGTTATGAAAAACTCGAACGAAAACGTGAAATTTCGTGCACATGTTACATGCAACATTATATCGAACTTTTAACGCAACTTGTTGGTTTGAATTTTGAAACGTACAGCTTTTGTAAATTTCGAGAGAGTTCTGGTTTTCAAAATTAAACTTCTTTGTCTTCTTGTGCAAAGACACAAGTTTAAATTACAAGAAGAATAACGTCGCATGTACAGAAACATTTTGGATTCAAGGTAACCATCATTTGAATTTTACATTCATCATAGAAGTCTATTATTGTACAAAATCTTAAATAATTATTCAAGTATCTTCATTATATTTTAAGTATTTTCGACATATTTTAAATATATATTGAATGTATACTGAATGTTGAACGATGAAAGAAAAATACGAATATTTTTTACCGTTTCATCGGAGCTAACGGAAAAATATTGCGCGCCATATTGAAATTTAGAAAGCCAAGTATTTGATACGATAACATCGTTGATTTTCAAACTGTAATAATAAAATATGTAATAAAAACAAACGGACAGGTGAACTAATAAAAAAACAAGGATAATCAATTCGACTTACATCAAATGGAAAACAATTGATAGATTTTTCAAAAATCATTCAATATAATTCCTTTAATATTTTTTGTTGCAATATTTTAATTCATAGTAGCTCTATGTTTATCACGGTTCTATAAAAAATACTTAAAAAAAAAAAAGAAAAAAAAAGGATACAATTGCTGCGGTAAAGTTTATTTCTTAGTGATATATTAATTATTACATTTATTTTCCACAATGGCCGTTAAGTTTAAATGGGATTCTTTATTAAAAGATCGGTCATATCTATTCTAATATATTCTCATATATAAATAATTGGAAAAAAATTTCGTTACGTTTCTTAACGGATTGATCGTTGCATGCACCTTAAGTCTAATTATAGAAAATGTCACGTTGTTTTACATTACCACGATATTTACATGATAAAGGTATCATTTGTTGGTACCTAATTAAATTGTTAGGCTATTTGTTTTTTTCCCTCTTTTTTTTTTATTTTCAACCGATCTCGTTGATACTGAAACGTTTCTCAATGATAGTAATGCTTTGAAATAAGAAATTAAGGGACTCATTGAATCAGAATAAATGAAATTCATATTTAAATTCGTTTGATAAAATATATGTTATAATTTATAAAATTCATAAAATCAATAATTTTTACATCTTTTGTTTTAGCTACGTAATAAGTATTAATAAAATGGTTTTCTAAATATGAATTTCAAAGAAAGCGTAATCATACAATATTTATGGAAATACTCTTAGCTAGGAAATCATATACATTTTATATCAAATTTTAACTATTAGTTGATGCACTTTAGATGTTATTCCTCACTGATGTTCTCTCTCTCTCCCTTCCTGCCTTTCTTTCAATTTTTTCTGTGAATAAAGTATCTATACAATTTTTTATTTATGTAAGACTACATAACGAAGTAACGAACAATTTTCTTTTCTGCGTACACTAAATTTAATAAAAATGTAAAAACTCTTTGATAAAAATAATTTAAAAATCGTTTAATCAACAAAAAATACTTAATACTAAACCTATTTGTAATTAGATTCTCAACCTCATTATTTTTCTTTTATTTCCTAAAACATTGTCAATTGAAACGATTCTACGCACTATTACAAATTTCCTTTTTAATGACGAATAATTAACTAACGTGTAAATAATAGCTGTTGTAATATAATACTTTAAGAACTAAACTATAGCTGTTTCGTAAGTTTGGCTTGGCTGTGAAAGAGGCTGTACTGATATAACAAAATATTCACGTTCACTTGGTACTTATACCTCAAGGAAGTCCTTCAGCAAAGTGACTCGACGTTTCTCAGCAATATCCATTTGATTTTCCAAATCTCCGCGGTTTGTTGTTTCCGCATGTTCTATTTTCCAAGAAAGATCTTCTATTTCTGCCTCCAATTGCGCTTGCTGATATTCGAACTTCAAATATTTATCATATATTTAGCTTTTTATCTCCAAAATTATTAAATATTTTGAAAGTTTAAATAGATATTTACCAATTCCTTACGTGGTCCAGGTTCCATATAATAAGCATAAGGATAAGTATATTGTAAAGTATAACGACAACGTGTTAGAAGTGATGCAGCTGCAAATAAATGTTGCCAATCTATCCATGTCCCGCTAAAGTTCATTACTTTCTTATTTATTTGCATTTTTATGGCTTCAAGAGTTTGTTCTTCCAATTTTAATGATTTACTGTGATTTTCCCACTGAAGTATAATTAAACATAATTAAGAATGTTTTTGATATATCAGTTAATCTTCGAAAAAAGTAACTTACTCTTTCATAGTAATGAAGATATTTTTTAAGAGCTTCTCTTGCTTGTGCAAGAACACTTTCATGAGCAATATTAGGATTCTCTTTATATCGCGAACATACGTAATATTCACTTCCATGTGCTTTCCAATCTCCAAGGCACATCCAACAAAAATCATATTTGCAATTATAACATTGCATATGATTGCAACCACCATTTTTTTCTATGCAAATATGGCATTTTGGGCACTGAAAAATCAGAGGTTATTTTTTTATAAAACAACATGTAATATAATACATAAAGACTTAAATACTAACATCTTTGGTGTGGGCACTAATATAATTGGCTGTTTCTGAATCATCTGCACACTTTGTTAGCCACTTTTTCATAGTATTACAATCAGTGGGTGCATGGTAATCAATACCACATCGGAAGCTGAAATTATTACAATTTTTAATTGAATCACACTACAATAATAGAAGTTTAAAAATGTCGAATGCATACCAAAATACAGTTTTACATGATGAACACATCACTCTTTTTGCTCTTTGTTCTTTTGAACGCATAATCATTTGACAATTGGGTCCAGGACAAAACCTTAATTGTGGATGAGACTTTACATAATCACAAAAAGCAAATTGTTGATACCTTTCTCTCATGTTAGGCTTAGTAAGTAAAGATAAAACAAAGTCCTCTGGAGCTAAGACATTGCAGTCTTGTGCCATGCAGCTTATTCCTAGTTTAACATTAACTTTGTTAAGCTTAATTCAATAGTTTAGATAATTTCATCTATTTTCTTCAATAAATTTACCTGTAGAAATACCTTGGCTTATTTGTACTTCAAAATGCATACACCAACAGTCTTTACAAAATGAATGTCCACATGTTAGAGTAGAAAATTTCTCAGCTGATTGAATTGCAACACAAACGGAACATAATCCACTTCTTTGACTTTTTAATCCTGATAATGAATCCAGTGGAGGCAATGGTTTTATTTTTGAATTGATTAACAAACTGGAAGCGTTGGTACGGTACTTTGCAATGATATCTTGTAATGCCCAATTGTGTGCGTGTAATAAAACTTTGGCTAAAGATGGTGTTATGTGAAGACTATTACTTAATGATTCTACGTCCTCATTCAAAAGTCTTTCCACTTCCTCAATTCTTAAACAGTCATACACAGCATATTCAGGATCTCTTCTATTTTGATCATTATCTATGTCATTGTCACCTTCTCCATCCCACGGGTGTACATTATAATAATCCTCGTAACCTGGATCTCCGCAATCAGAATCGGAGTAATCCATTTCTGTATCATATTCTTCAGTCGTCATCTGTTATAAATATTCTTACTTGATTACAAAGAAATATTTTGACTTGTGTATTATGCAAAAGTTTCATTTAACATATAATTTATGCATGTGAAATAGCTATATTATTTTTCTTATAACCTCATAATTTTTGCTATTTACTTATAAACATTAATATATATAAGTGTATCAATATACTAATAGACAATAAGAATATATCAAAGATAAAGAAATAATTAATGAAGACAACAAGAAATAAGGATTTTAAAACAAAAAGTTTTTACTAACCATACAAAAGTAACAGAACTTTGCAAAATTTTCAGTTCTTGTGCAACTTGTATAACCTTTAAATCATTTATACGACATAAAATAATATTCGGAGATATTAAAAAAATTAGTAATAGGTTTGATTATTTTTCTTCAAAATCTTATTTTCGTGACATTTAGCAAACATTTTGATGGAATCTCGAATATTACATTATAATAAGATGTTCACTTACTTTGTTTCATTTACATGGCACAAACTTACCTTTATGTTCTTATGTATCAAGAAAGATGCATTGATACGTCTATTTTGTTAATTAAATGAGAAAATTATTAAAAGGCTCTATAGTAGCCCTTTATACCAATAATTACACTGGCGCATAACTAATGTATATATTCTTCCGTGTCAGGCGTATGATATGAACGATGTTGTAACAGATGATTTCATTTAATCTGAAAGAAGATAAGAATGTCAAAATCACCTGATAGGAAACAGCTGAGTTTAGCAAAGTATATGTCAATTCGTGATACATCGTAATTCGTGATAAAATTGTAAATATTTTATTTCTAAGAATATATGATACGAACGTATTTGAATATTTCATTCATGGATATTAATCATTTTGGAATTTATTTTTAAAACAATTATATTATGCTGTTCTAGATAACATTCAATGTGTATTTTCTTGGATGATATTTTAGAAAAATAACTTTGTTTACTGTATATATATATATACTAATAATGTATTTCTTTATATCATTGCATATGTAGATGGGTGTGTATACATACATGCATCTTATCCCAGAAATTTGCATATGAACTAAGAGATTTTATTCTGTTTTTATATTTAAATGTTCTGTACTCTCAAAGAACAAAAAAGTGTATTGAAATATTTGTATAAAATTATTTTTTATTTAAAAGAAAAGGAAAAGATGAAAATGTAAACTTTTTGCTTCATAGAGTTAACTATCTATATCATTTTCATAGTTAGCTACTTATGTCATGCTGTTATGATCACTGATCGGATGTGTGTTTCTAACCTCTACTTGAGTTCATTTAGAGAATTTAACTACTACGTATTGTCAGAATTATGTCTGTGTATCACGATGAAGTAGAAATTGAAGACTTTGAATATGACGAGGATGAAGAAGTATATTATTATCCATGTCCTTGTGGGGATCAGTTCCAAATATCTAAGGCAGAGTTAGCTGCTGGAGTGGAAGAAGCCACATGTCCTTCTTGCTCTCTTATAATTAAAGTAATTTACGACAAAGAGGCGTTTGCTGCTAAACAGGAAGAACTTATTAGGGACGAGGAAAAACAACTCGTGATTCAAAAGGTTTGATTCAAAATTTAGAGTATTTTATAAAATCTTAATACTCTGTATTTCTCATTCAAACCAAACCAAAATAATGGCCAAAATAATTAAGGATATATTTATAATTACCAGAATTTGAAATAAATGTTGCCTTCAATTTTTTCCTCTATTGTTACTATTGGAAACTAGAATGTAATACGTAACACTATTATGGTTTTCACAATTATGGGTTTTGACAAATAAAAAAGATAACCTTTCATGTTAATTAAAACGCAAGTTAGGTTTTACTAAAGAAGAAGGATTGTCATAATCAATCTTACAACCTTTATCAAAATATTCTTCTTTAAAGTACAAACCATCGCCCTTAAATGTTATTCCAAAATGTTATTCCAAAAATGAATTATCAGCTAAAGTTAAAGAGAAGATACGCAGAATACATATGAATATTACTTAACAATGTATTGCTTTCTGTAAATAAAAAAGATATTGAAATTTATTCAAATGAGTTTCAAAGTCTGATTATTGAATAGAAAGTAAAAATCTGAGAAGACAAAGAAAAACCAAAAGGACATTGATACATAGACAAAAGAAGTGAAATGGAAAGAAGGAAAAAAGAAGTAAAAGAGAAAGTTAATAACTATGAGGAACCAGAACTAGATAAAGAACTAAAGAGGAAATGATTATATGAATCATTAGAGGAAATGATTATATGAATCATTATTATCGATAATGGAGAAGGATACTGTGATGAAGACGATAATTTAGACGATGGACCTATTTATTAATTATTATCTTATAAGAATCGAAAATTTCTCTCTGTTTTCAATTATTGGACTAGAATACTTACAAGCTGCTAATTGAGCACTGTACGGCAATGTATAATGTCTTTTACCGAATTGTGTATATAGACAATAAATTATTTTGGAATTTTATGCTTAAATAACGGCAAGATCTTATGCATTCGCGCGTATTCCACATCTCTCAGTAATTATATTTTCTAAAGAAATTAATGTCAAAGGTTGGTGTAATATGCTAAAAAGAAAGGGAGATTAATTTTCTAGAACACAATTAAAATAGTCCAGAGTCACAGGAAGCGTCGGCGTGTTCTTTATTACGAATATTTCAATTTCTAATATATAATATATATATTTATATATATGTATATATATAATATATACATACATACACACACACATATATATATATATATATATATA